AGCGCACTGACTCCGCCCCTCCCAGGGCGCGTCCCCGGGGCACCCGTGAGGGACTTCACCTCGGGGGCGAAGGGCCTCTCCGCCGCTGGGCCCCTCTGCCCGAATCCTCTAGCAGTGACCTCGGACCCGAGGAGAGTGGCACTCTTGCTGACAGGTGCAGCTGGCCCAGCCGCGCACCTGGTGGACCTGAGTCAGCCGGGCCAGCCCGCAGGTCACCCCTCCCGCAGGACCTCGCAACACCTCAGCCTAATATTTTCAAAGATTTGCAAGAGGGCAATAGGGGGGCTGGGTCTAAGGGTGAACCGAACTTTACTAATTTTTGTTCAAGTGCATGTATTACAAATTCTTTTTTTTTTTTTTCAGATTCAAAATAGAAGATAAAAACGATCGGCTTTCTGATCCTTTTATGCTATCCTATCCTAAAGCAGTATCTGAAACAATTGGTGTTCCATAATGTATATTAAATAAATCAATGAATGGAGTGCAATATAGGCATTTGATATCCGAATATCCCTCTTTGGTATCTTTCCAAAAGAGTTAAAAGCATCTTACCACAGCTAGATATGCACACCCATGTTTAGAGCAACACAGTCTAATATCTAAATCTTCAAAACAGCCCAGATGGTCATCATCAAATGATCGGATAAAGAAAATGTGGGTTTTATAGACGATAGAGTAGTTCTCTGCCATTAAGAAGGAACTTGAGACATTTTTAGGTAAATGACTGCACTTTGAGATCATACATTTAAGTGAAATAAACCGGACACACGTTTAAGTATCACATTGTTTCTCTGGTGTGAGAAACCAAAAGCACAAATAAAGACCCAAATGGACGATAGATGTTGGGAAGTAGGAAGAAAGTGTTCAAATGGGAAGGGGAACAAGGGAGAAAGAGGGGGAAAGGAAGGAAAAATGGAAACAGATCCATTGTAAATAAGGATTGAAGGGAGGGGAAGAGAATAAGGAAAGAAGAATCAACATATATTATGTGCAGGTAGGACTTCCCAACGATGAATGGGATCATTATGTAAAGTTAGTTTAAAAATAAAATCGGAAAGCCAGACTGGAGCCTAGAACCACCCAGAGCACAATTGTGCAATCGTGTGCCCTTCTAAAGGTAAGTCTCTTTGTTTTCATCTGTAAAACAGGAATATCCACCATCACTACTCAGGCAAGTAGCAGACTTAAATAAAATAAATTGCATTAAAGCACTTTTTAAACTGCTCAGGATTCAACGCATAAAAAATTGTAGCTTTTGTTTTAGTTCCCAACTTTCATTCAGGAACATATAGATTAATAATAACATAGCTCTTTGGGGGGCAGGGGAACACCCGGGTTTGAACCCAGGGCCTTTTCCCTGAGTTCTCTCTCTAGCCTCTTTTCTTATTTTTTATTTTGAAACAGAATCTTCCTATGTTGCCCAGGTGGGACTAGAACTTAGAATCCTCCTGCCTCAGCCTCTCTCATGCTGAGATTAGAGGCTCATGCCATTTGAACATCAATTTGACAGGGTATATACATTCTAAAAATGCCTCACTAATCTGGGGCAAGCACATAATCCCAGCTCCAGGAGCCTGAAGCAAGAAAATCCCAAATTTGAGCCTTTGCCTGGACAGTCTAGAAACTTAGGAAGACCCTGTCTCAAAATTTAAAAAAACAACTTTGTTTTAAAAGGCTAGGGATATAGCTCAGTGTGAAGGCCCTAGATTCAATTCCTAATACCACTAAATAAATAAACAAACAAATGTCACTAAAAAATAATCAGACCTAAAAACGCCCTGGACTGCAGGTCTGGCTTTGCGTTTCCAATGGGCCATTCCCTTTGGTAGTGAGTCTCCCTAACCACTGAGATTGTGTGTAGGTGGCCTTCTAGATTCCTCCCCACAAAGTGCTGGTTGGGGCAGTGCTGAAAGTAGATACCATCTCCATCGTCCTCAGTTGACACCCTTAATAACAATGAGGTATGTTGGTTTCTGCAGTCAACAAATACTTCTCAGTAGCTGCAGCATGCCGGGCACTGGTGCTGGAAATGCTTAAACAAACAAGACAGACAAGGTCTTGGCACTTAGGTAGCACTCCTTCTAATAGGCTAGCGAGGCTGTGAGCAGGCAAACAAACACAGTGGAGTGATGTGATGGAGCCATTTCGGACAAGAGGGATGACAGTGCTCCTCTGGGGAGGTGAAATCAAGGCAAGACTTGACGTGCCAGCTGTGGGCCGTGGTCGTCCGGACTGAGGAAGACCATGCTAAGACTGGAGGAGGGACGTGCTTGGTGGGAGTGCAGGACAGCAAGGAAGTGCAAGGGTGATAAGGAAATGAGGACAGAGTGACTGCAAGGGGTCACGCTCAGCCTCGTGGGGCAAGATGACGCCGCTGGGGTGGTGTCAGAGAAATGGGAATCGTGTGAAAAGATTCCGAGCAGAGACCTGACAAGATTTCGCCTGGACTTGTGTTTTAAGTTGTTCTGACTGCTGTGTGCCTGTAGGATGCCAGAGGACTAAAGACAACCAACGATGAGATGAGAGTGACTGGGAGAACAGGTGTCACACGGCCTGCGTGTGTTCTGAAGACTGAGCTATCATAATTTATGGAAAGATTTGGTATGGGTTGTATTAGTTTCCTAAAACTGCTATAAAATTTTTTCTATAAACTAGTAGGCTAAAAGCAAGAGAAATCTCTTCTTTCATAGTTCTGGAAGCCAGAAATCCAAAATCAAGGTACTGGCAGGGCTTCTCCAAAGGCTTTTAGGGAAAAAACTTTCATACTTCTTATAGCTTCTAGTGGCTTCCAGTGTCCTTTAACTGGTGCCAACATAATTCTAGCTTCTGCATTTGTTATCATATGGGCGCCGCTTCATCCCCACAGTTGTTTTAAATATATCTGACCTTCCATTTAGGGCCCTGTCCTAATCCAGAGTAATCTTATCTCAAAGACTTGAGAGACTCACAAAGACCCTATTTCAAAACAAGTTCACACATCTTCGGAGGACCACTATCTCAGTCACTACGTGGACAAAGAGATAGAAAGCAACTAAATAAGTATGATGAGAAGATGGGCTTCGAAGTTCTTAACCTTGAATTTCATTTACAATATTTTATGTTTTACTTACCACTTCTCACTTGAACTTCAAAATAATATTAACATTTCAGAATCACAAAGATGGAAAGTAAGGCTCTGAGAATTGTGTGCAGAGCTGGAAATGGGACCCAGAATATGTAGGCGGCACACCGACTGCTCCTCTGCAGACTGGGCGCTAAGGCAAGATGCGTTCTCAAATGGCAGACAGTGAGGGGAGTCAAGGGACAGCTGTCATTTGGTGGCAGAACGAAGAACTGCTTAGCTTTTTAAAAAGGCGTTCCTGACAACTCACCAAGTTTTTTCTTACAGGAAGCTCAATACACAGTAGCGTTCATTTGTGAGTCGTGTGGAGCCGGACAATATGCCAGGGGAAATTTGCTTTCTTTGCTCAAAAACATAGGCAAACAGAGCCATTTCCCTCTCAGGCTGAGACGTTTTGCTGGCTCGTATTTAATAGGTCCGTCCTTACATACTTTTAAGGCAGTCCTTATGTGGCTGATAGTCTCATGACTATCAAATGCGTATTTCCAGGTGAGGGCAATGAGGCCGAGACTCTGGCATCGGCCACGTATCCAGGAGTAAAGGCAGAGCTGACTTTGGCTTGAGAGGATGGGCTCTGAAGAGAGCACAGACAAGTTCTACAACCACACAGAGAAACGTCAACAGAGACACCGAGAGCGCGATCCCGGCCCCCGAGATGGGGGCCCACACCCACACCAACACGCAAAGACAGGCTGTGCCCTGCCTCCCCTTCCCACTGCTCTCCCACCCTGCCCACGGCTTTCCCCTGATCTCTCTCGCGCCACTGTCTCCTGGTCTCCCCTCGCCCCACCCCTGGCTGTCTCCTGCTTTCCTGACCCTGGTACATTTGTTTCTTTGGCAACTGGGAAAGAGAAGAAAGGTTGTCTGGAGCATTGCATGAGACATACTCGTACTAAAAATTACTCATAACTCATCTGAAATGCAAATTCAGGAAGCAGTTAAGCCAGGACTGTACTGTGGATGATGACATTAACTTCGCTACCACACAACTTGTATTGAAATTCCGGTTCTGGCACCTGCTCGACCGACAGCTAACCTGGGAGTGTCACTGCTTACATTTCTATACCCTCAAAATGAGACGTGCACTCCTATTCATACCTACCCCGTAGTTTTCTACTTAAAGAGTAAATAATTTAGTATGTGTCGTGTTCAGAACAATGCCTAACTCATTTTAAACCAAAATGAATTTTATTTAATTGAATCTGAGCTGTCCTTTCCAGATCCAAGTTTTGTTTGTTTGTTTTCATCTGAAGAAAGCTTAGTAACAAAGGTGATTCCACCTTTCACTTTGCATGGAGTTCTCCCACTCCAGAGCCATCATCCCAGCCTATTCTATACCAAGTACAATTTTATTACATTTTGACTCCGATTCTTTTTTTTTTTTTTTTGGTACCAGGGTTCTAACTCAGAACCTTGCACTTGCGAGGCAGGTGGCCAAACCACTGAGCTAAATCCCCGCCCTAATTTAATTTTTGTTAGTCCTTGTTAGCAGCACATACTGGT